TGATTAAATACCACCGAAATAAAGCTCTATCTGTCCCCAAAAAATGGTATAAAATTCATTTCAGTACAGCGCTGCATGACGGAATAAACGTCAGTCAAAGTACCGCAGCGCTGAATACTGAAAAATGGCCTGGCCAGGAAGGGGGTCTAAACACCTGGTCTTGAAGTGGTTAAAAACCTTTTGACTGTAATATCACTTTAGGTGTTTGCGAAGTCCCTCTGTGCTGCTTCCCCAAACTTCGCTTCATTCACAGTAACCTGAGCCTCCTTCCTTAGGACTACATATCCCATCATTTCATGTGCGGCTCTTTCAAAGGTGCAGAGGTGTGTCTTAGTGCGTCTATTGCTCTTGGGGTGTCTGTACCGAAAAGCACAGGCAGTGTATTGACATCAGTCTGTGATTCCCTTCCCAGGAGTGCACAGGATGACTCTGAGGGGACTCCATAGAATCCTGACAAGTCAAGGAGCCGCTCTTCAACTGATTACACATGGTTAGAATTTCGTTCCAAAAAAAGTTTTGCTTTTTTTTGAACGTTTGTTTGATTCTCTAATAATGAGGTAAATTCAGTGATCAATTTGGACCGTAGTGGCGAAATAAATCGAAGGAGCCGACTGGAATTTTTTTCTCAAATGAACGAAAGTGAGGCAGGCCGGATTTACTCTCTCTGCTGCCCCAATGTCAGGTTCATACAAGTGATCTCAGCGACATTGCCGAGAGCACTTGTACAAAACAAGCGGCGGCTTCTCCACGGTATATTTAGCCCTGCTTGCCCAGAGCAGGGCTAAATGTAGAAAACAACTAGCTGCCCGGCGACTGGAACTGCATGTCCCGGGCATCAAGAGATGGGACTTCCACACCACTGCTGCCCCTCTACTCCATGCTGCCCCAAGGTCAGGCCTCGGTTGGCCTTGTGGGAAATACGGCCCTGAGTGAGGGTTCGTTCACACAATGTCCAGATTCTGTCCAGATCAGAACAGTTAGCTCCTGGACCAAAAACACATCCCAATGTATCCCATGTGATTTCTCCCTATGTGATTTCAGTTCACATCTTTGCAGTGCTTTCCATTCCAGACCAAACAAATACAGAATGTCTTATTTGTTTCTGGTCCAGAATGCACAGGAACATGGCAAATGCGTCAAAAACGCACGCAATGCTCCACTTTTGACGATCTCATCGAGTTTTAGCTTTTGTTTGTGATGGAGCAGAAGAGAGCAGAACAGAGGTGAACACCATGGCCAAGGACACAGAACGTTTTGCAGGCTTAGTGGAGCATGCTCCTGAGCTATATGATCCCCGGAATCCCCATTATAAGAATATTCACACTTTATGCAATCTTTATTTACATTTTTTTTTCATAAGAGTATCAATAATCAACATAGATAAAGAGAACACTTGCGGAAAGGCACAATCAAAAACGTGTCAGTATAAAGTTTCGTGAGGAGGTGGTACAACCTTTTGGTCGACCAATTGTGGACTGTGAACCCATGTATCGCAAGCGGTGGGAATAAAGCTTGACACAGATTGCAGGGAGTGGGAAGAAGAGGAGCAGGAGTGAGAAGGAGGCAGGTGAAAAGACATAAGGGGGAAGAGGGAGGTATAGATGAATGGAAGGGGAGAGAAGGGAGAGAGCAAGAACATTGAGCGGTGAGGAAGCCAACACTCGGGGCTGTCTATTATACTGAAGATGGTCCACTCATTAAGAAGGGGAGAGTCCTGCAACCACTCATTACTTAAAAAAACCCCAAAACAATAAAAACAACAAAACCTAGGAAAGTGGGTCAGCTGGGGTGTCCAGTAGCCAAATGTGGTTGGTGTGTTCAAAGTGATGTGCTTGTACCTGCCATAGGTGAAGACAGAAGACCAGCCAGAAGAGGTAAGGGTAAATAATTCATTAAAATTATTGTTATTTGTAGCCTAATGTTGTATAAAGTACTGTTGCAGCAATGCACAATGACACCCTCTATAGAGGACTACAAATCTCAGCAGTACTTTATACAGAAATGCTATTGTTATATAAAGTATTGCTGGGATGTGTAGTCCTCTATAGCCTGTGCCATTCTGCATTGCTGTAAATATTAGGGACGCACCGATATATTGGCCGCCAAAACATACCGGGCACCAGAACATATCAGCCGAAAATGGCACTTTTGTCTAAATGCCGAAAGTGCCATTTTTCTGCTGATACAGCGGCGCATCCCTGCTTTCTTTCCTCCCCTCTGGGCGCTGCTCTATGTCCCAGCGGGGAGAAGAGAAAGTGACAGCCGTTTGTGGTTTGTGTTTTTTTTTGGGTGGGGGGCCCAAAAAAAAATCTTGCACCAGGGCCCTTTGTTTCTTAGGTCCGCCACTGCCGCGCCACAGCCCAGGTTCATTAGAGTAGTCACTGGACCAAGTATCCCGCTACTCTTAAGCAGAGGTGGGATCCGAGGTACGAGGTATGATGAAGCCCATATAGAGTAAAATTTGGCGTACCTGTCATTGCAGGTGGCCATCCACTCCTCGGAGGCCATGATGTCCGAGACCACTCCGCTCCACTCCTCCACCATGGGGACGGACGTCTTCTTCCAGTGTCGAGGAATCTAGCGCCTCCATACTGCTCCACATCTGGTCCAGAAAATGGTGTGAACACAAATGTGGTTTTGGTTCGGGAAACTCCATTCATTCCAAAATCAAATGTTAAAAACAAACAGAATTTTGAACGATATTGGCCAAGTCTCTGATGGCATTATCCAATGTTCTGTCGAGATTTTTCATACATGAACGTTCATATGAAAATCTATCCGTGTACGGCCATACGCTGTGCGGGAATTTATCAAAACTGGAGCAGATAAAATGTGGAACAGCTGTGCATGGGGACCAATCAGCTTCTCTCAGACCAATTACCAATCAGCTTCTCTCTTTCATTTTCATATCTTAAAGGGGTTCTAAACCCTCCGGTTTTTTTTGCTTATATCTACTGCTAGCATGCAGTAGATATAGGCAAGAAGTGTAAAAAAAAAAAAAAAACGCGCCGAGAATCAGGAACTGCTCGTACGGCCGCAAAGGATCTTGGGGCGGGCGCATGCGCAGTTCCGATTCTCGGCCGGGAGACGAGCAGAGACGCAAGGTAAGTCTATGGACGCGTGCACCCGCCTGCAGACACCGCTGGATCGGAGAGACAGAACAGTCAGCGCTGGATCGGAGTGACGTCACACCGCTGGAGGGACACATGAAAACATGGGGAAAGAAGAGGAAGATCGGAATAAGAGGCATTATTTAAGGTAAGTGCTAACATTTACATGGGGGGGAGGGAAAAAATGTTTTGCCTTTAATATCACTTTAATTGAACAAACTGAAAAGAGACGCTGATTGGTTGGGCAGCTGATCCAGATTTTGTCTGCTCCAGTTTTTTTTGTGTAACTGTATTTAATAAAGTTTTGTCAGATACAATAAGAAAGTCAGAGACAAAAAGCATAAAGATAAAATGTAGCAAGACATCAAACAGCAAACAATAACCCTGTATGAGTTTAGTGGGCTAGGTGAGAAAAAACTCTCAGTCCCCCCCACACGCAGGGCATTGTATTGTGACAATGGTGGGTACGCTGCTGTCAGAGTACCTGAACAGTGATTGTACCTGATTGGCTGCCGTCACTGTCTGGCTGAGATTTTTCGGAACGGTCCCTTCTACAATAGTTGACACACTGGTCAGCAAAACCTGACCAGTGTATGTCCAACTTCACAGTGGATGGTCCCAGGGGCGTACCAAGGCTGGGTGTCACGCGGACCAGAGACCGGGTGACACTCTGCCGTGACGTCATCGTGCATGCGCGTGACGTCACCATGCGCTATGATGTCATTGTGCATGCGTGGTCATCTAATTGACGCCTGCCAGTGGCCATCTTAGTGGAGAGAGAAGAGGACGTTCACCCAGCAGAATGAGGTATGCCGCCGTGTCCCCTCCTCTCTCCTGATACTGTCAGGCTCTCAGTCCATGACCGAGTGCCCGACTTTTTAGCGGGGGTGACACTAAAATGACTGTCAGTAATTTTGGTGTCACCCGGGTGTGGACCGCACCACCCGCGTGACGCCACTGCCCTGCCACCTCAATTACTAGAATTTTATCAGCTGACCTGGTCTGAAATTCACTTATTCGGTGGCCCTGCCGCCAACCCTTCCCCTGACATCCTTCAGTCAGGAAAATCAAAGGAGCCAGGCAGAAAATCGTTTGCCGAACAGTGCCAGCAACCAATCAGCCGCAGTTATCATTGCGGTATTCTGACAGCGGCGAGCAGCGGCGGCGGAGGAATGTGTTAGATATCATTTAATCATCCAGCAAGCGGATCAAATATTAGTGTATTATTATATTCTTATATTTATGAATGCATTATTTCTTTCTTATATTACAGATTATTATGATATTATTAATACTAGTGTATGGGCAGCAGAAATCAGAGCTGTGATTGGTGGACAGGTAGAAAACAGAAGAAGCAGCACACAATGTAAGTCCGATGATCAGTCAGCACCTGAACTAGTATTAAACTAAAGAGGACTAATATGACTGTAGAGCACCCAGAGCCCCGATCTGAAGATCCGAGCACAGCGCTGTGTACACTGACATCCTCCGGTCATCTACACCGTACTGGGTGACCACACAGATAGGACACACAGCAGCCCGCCGCTCACCTGTCACCCCACACACACACACACACACACACACACAGCCCTCCCCACGCTGCGCTGCCAGGGCACAGGGCCAGCGACTCCTCCCACAGCCAATCGGTGAGCGCAGAAGGGCGCAGAGGGGCGGGGTTTTCGCCGTTCCATATTTTTTTTTTGCTCCTGCCTCCCTTCCAAGCCGGAGAATAGGGGAGTGGGGCGGGTGACGTAGTTATAGTTCCACGGGACCAACAACAAGGCATCGTGACTCTTCCCTGGGCAAGGACACCTGGCTGCGGGGGGTGGGGGGTACACCAGCAGTCCACCCGAAGGAGGGGTAGAGGAGGGGGCACCTCTGCCAGGTTAGATCCCAGGCGGTGCCAGCTCTGCCAGCAAGATGGTGTCGTGGATCATCTCTAAGGCCGTGGTGTAAGTTATCCCAAATTCTGCTCGTTCAATGGCTGCCAGCATCCAGGCATTCAACTGCTGGGGATGATGGAGGCCCTTCTGATCAGGTTCAGAGATCTGTATGTGT